CTGTTTTTGACTTTAGCTGATTTCAGACTTTGGCACTTGCTGTCGCTTGTTTATTATTTATTCACTCTTTTTCAATGATTCTTTTCAAAAAAATCTTTTATAATTTCGCTTTTATGTGTAAATAAAAGAAAGAATTTTTTTTATATATATACATTTAGAGCTACATGAGCTAAATTTTTTTTTTTTAATTTTCCTTAAGTCAATTGCTCTTACCACCAACTGCGATACTGCGTTGCGTTCGCAATGTCCTTAAATCACTGCTTTTTCTTTTGTGCCTTTTTATCACAAAGTCATTACTCATTTTTACGTACTTGATTTTGGTGATAAAGTTTTGCGCTTATTCTTTGTAGCAGCAGCTCAAAAGTACCCTTTTAAAGTCATTCAATATTTATGTATGTGTGTGTATGTATGTATGTGCTGGCATATCCGCGTAGATGTTGGCGCTGCGCATCTTGTTCACAAAGTAAAAGTAGGTAATTTCATTATAAGACTTTGGAAGCTTGTCAAACTTTAAGCTGTAGGAAATAGTGAACAAAAAGAAGAACATCGTCAAAATAAAGCGAAGAAGATAGAGTTAAGCATAAGCGAAAGGAGTGAAGTGAGCATGTTTGCAGTGTCAAAAGCTGTTTATACCTTTAAGAAATTTAAGAAACAATGGGAACAAACTTAAATAGCAAGATTGATATTAACTAGTTTTGGACTAGTTGAAAACGTGAAAGATGCTTATATTTTTTTGAGAGGTTTTTTTTTTTTCCATGAATTTTGATAGATAAATTTTTTGCCAATAGTCGACTAGTTTGCTAGTATTAATCAATGAAATAGACGTCCCAATTTGGAACGGTTATTTTTTTTTTGACTTTTATTAAAACTGATAATATCGATAACAGTAATAATATATTTATTAAAAATTCGAATCTTTTTTAATTTTGATATATATTTACGGTTTGTTTATTGCTATGTTCTAAGTTACGTTAGTTACTTTAGTTCAAAAACTTGTATTTCGTCAAAGAAGTACACTGGCATGGAGAAAGTACACTCTCTTCTAAAATTTGTTTGCGATAAAGTCTAAAACGGCAGCCAGGCAGCTGAAAGCATGAAAAGTACAGATACTATATTAACCAATTCGTTTCAGTAGTTTTGATGTTCGCATAAATATGTTCCACAGTGTAGTAGGGCATTTGTTGTAAATATCGAACAATATCGGAAATAGTCTGACCATTATGCGGCTTTCAGAAAAAAATTTTGTAACCAAGGGAAACCTTGGATATAAAGTAAACTCGATCCAAAAAAACCTGTTGAATCGTAACAAAATCGGCTCATCTTTGAAGTGGGCGATTACAGATGATACAAAGTGAATCCCTTATAGCAAGGGCGCTTGCAAACGATTGTGGTTAAAGGACCTTGAGCCAGCGCACCCGGTGGCACTCCTATGATTGACTGCCAGAAAGGTTTTGTCACGTTTTTCAGTCTTTGTTGGTAGTACTGGTATTGAATCATATACTATGAGTAGCATTCTTATGCTTTCATCTTATAGTCCGGTCCTCACGCCGAGTGATTACCATCTGCTCATGTCTATAGTAAGTGGTTTGGCAGGTGGAAAATTGGATTTAAAGGAAGCCTGTGAAAATCCAATAAGACAAAGGCTTTGACGTTCAAGTCAAGGGTTTCTATGACAGAGAAGCATACGAAAAATGCAGTGTTTTTTCTATAAATCGATATTTTTAAAGTTTTTTTTTGTACAAAGCTGAAAATCAAAGAGGCAACAAAAATGAAAACATTTCAAAAAATTAAAAATAAAAAAAGTCATTCATTATTTTTGCATATTTCTATCGCATGTGATCACAAGATTTTAATAATTTTTATTTTTTTTTTCCAAAGAGAACTCCAAGACTAAAGTTTTTCTTTAAAAACCATTGTATCTTATTCATAATTGGGCCAATTGCATTGCGGAATTGTGACAAAAGACTAAACATTCATAACAGCACTCGAAATTATTTATTTTAGTAAAAAATTCCTTACTTGATTCGGCAGTATGCTTTATTGTAACTTCTTGTGGACTAGTGACTGGTGACAAAATTACTATAATATTTTCTTTCTCTCCCTCACAACAGATAGTCGTCTGAGAGGTCATCAAAATCCAAAAATAACACTGGCAACCCTTTATAAAGGCTATTACATTACTGAAAAAGTAGGCGATTTGGTGTCAACTTCATTTCATTAAAAAAATGGTTTTGTGCCTTTGGTCACTTTTCTACCGCACGCTTTCTGTTAACAGAATTAGATAAAACTGCGTGTGCATGCAAAGTGAAAGCAACATACGCATTTTCGCAACTATACTTTTTACCATAAAAAAAGAGAAAGATCAAAAAAATTTTAGCTGCAGAAAAAATGTCGGCAGCAGAAGGGTGCAAGCTAAAATAAGAAAAAGATGGAAGAAAAAACATCTTACTACGTTTGAAAAAAGCGCGCCAAAGCATTATAGGGAAGTTGAAAAAGTAGCAGAAATCTTTTGCCACTAATAAACGCTTTCGATAGCACTGATTGGCGCGTGTCGTGTGCGCAGAGGACAAAAATGAAAAAGAAACAAAGTATTTTTGTATGTTAGAGGACAGAAATGAAAGGAAGTCGCGCATTAGGTCATTGGCTGACAAAGCGAAAATGGAAAAGTTAGTTGCTTGTGATGTGATTAGCGCAATTAAGTGCAACAAGAATGTACTTAACGGCACACGACTACAACGTTGAAGACAGCATTGCTTAAAAGTAAACTACTTTTCTTGTTGCTGTATTTTTTAACTTCCGTCATATTGACGCTGTCGCTTTAGCCCATTGTTTATCTGCCACAACCTACATTTACTTTGACTTCAAGGGCGGGGCGTATGAGTAACTTTCCTTCTTGTTCGCAGTTGGATGCACACGGAAGCATACACAAAGTTTTTCTCGTTGTAACTTTCATACATTTTCCGCCCAATATGTACTTGCGAGTTCATAAAGGAGCGAAATAATAGCAAAAAAGTAAAATGTAAAGCTGAAAAACGCAAAAAAAAAATTAAAAAAAAAAATTAAAATAAAAATAAAAAAAATTACAAAAACAAACAAAAATACAAAAGTAAATTGGGTTGGCAGCAATGAAAGCGAAAAGTCCCTTCAACAAATAACTGCAACAGCTCGCCACACCGCACTTACTTACTTATATTCTGTGTGCAAAAGTCAGCGGGCGGCGCGTAAACAAGTTGAAAATAAAGTTAAAGCAGCAATGCGAACGTGCATACACACATACACATGCATACACACTGCTGTGTTACTACGGAAAACCACGCTGATACATTGGTATTATGCTGCCCCTAGGCTATAGTGGACGAATGGAGACCAGGTTTTCGATTTTCAACTTTCTCTTCGTTCATTTTTGTACCCAATTTCAACTTTTCTGCAAGCATATGCACATACATACACACACACACACACACGACTATTTGTGTGTCTTCCTGACGGTAGCAACATAAAATGTAATCAAAATAAACGCCGCGTTACGTGAAATGGGCGTAAAGTTGCTTGGGTGTAGACATATATAAAGTATATATGTAGTTTTTCGGTATATATCACTGCTGTGTGAGCTGCTCCATTGTGGCGGCGCGTATTTTCCTAAGGTAAAACAGCGAAAAAACTCTCGCACAGCGTTACCAAACAGCTGCCGCCACGATTTTCAATAACAACCGGCCGACAGATAGTCATCTGGGTAGCAGCTGGGTCGTGTGTCAAACGAATTGCACTTTAAGCTGCTGGCATCCATTGCCGTTTTCACTCTGTTGCTTTGGTTTGCAGGGGTTTTTGCTGGATTTATATGTTTGTGTGTATTTCATTTTTAAATAATATTTTTGAACGTTGTTTTTTTCACTGCTTTTGCCATCACCTTGTCATGTATTGATGAGAATGTCGCTGGTATAGTGTATTTGTAACATATCTCAGAATTTTAGCTAATGTTAAATGGTGTAGTCCCCAGCTGCCATTACTGTGAGATGGCCAGCTTGTGGGTTTTCACTAATCATTTCCTCTCCAAAAGGAATACTTTATATTTTTGAGGTTGGAAGACACTAAATATGCTATATATTGTATATACGTATACATATATGTATATATTTTTTGAATATTTTAAATTAACACTTACACGCATATTTTCAAGTTAAACTGTAAATTTACGTTATTTTAAATTAGTTTACTTTCTTATACATTTTTGGAGTGCGTATTATGGGTAATAAAATTCCCAACAAATTCCCAAAAGTTTGCCTTAAGTCTTTTTGTGGGGTTCAAAAATTTGCATGACCTACTGTAAGCTGTTTCAACACAAAAAAAAATTAAAAAATTATCGAAATGCATTTTGTATCACAAAATAAATTCTTAAAAAATGTGCGCGTGTTTGCGTTTTTATACCCATCACTTCAAAAACTTCCTCAAAAACATTCCGCGGACTGAATAAAAGAGAATTCCATAGGAGAATGATTGAAAAAATATCGCCTACGCTCTTATTTTCGATCTATCGTTGTATATTTCCACACAGAGAGTCTATTTGTTTACCAAATTTTCTCATACATTATTTATTGTATATATTGCATTATATTTAAGCAATTTATTTATAATAATAACACTTAATACAATTTTAATATGCTGATATGCTTTCAACTTTTAAATATTTTCAAAGCATATTTTTTCAAATTTATGATCATTAGTAATAGCCTAACCTAATAACCAACCTTAATATTCAAATATAATAAATAATATTAAATAATGAATTTGTTGCATACTTTTGAGCGCCACCAACGTAATCATCGTGAGTTTTTCGGAACCATTAATTTGTGTATTGAAAAACAAATGAAAATAAAACAAAAATTCTGTGGATAACATTTTTGATAACTACATGTTTGTATGTTACTGCTTGTATGTGTGCATGTATGTGCGAACACGCAATATTATTTAACTTAACAACCATCTGTTTCTCTCCCAAATAGCTTTTAGCAACCGATATCAATTACCAAAATAAAAAAAAGTAAACATATCAAAATATAAATAAATTTACAAATACACAAGAATTTAATTTTTCGATTAAGTAACTGAAGCAATCGCAGAAATATTCAACACATAAGTCTGTAAAAAATTGAAATTAAATATACAACAAAATTTGAAGTAAAAGGGAAAAACTCAGACTTCAAATATATAATTTTAATGAATAATAAATAGAAATAATTGCAAAAGTTTTATGAAATGAGATTGTAAAGCAACTTAATAAAATAAATTAAATAAATACAAGCAATGCAAATACAACTCCAGCAAAATACAAGTGTCTATTGAGAGCCGTAGCAAAAGCTATCACTTATCATTAAAATTTATAAAGTAATTAAGCCAACGAAATGCATAGTGTTCATTAAAGCTGAAAAAGCTGTAAAATAAAAAAATAATCGAAAAGTCGAAAAGTTGAAAAGCTGAAAAGTGAGTGCCGCCGCGCGTTCAAAGTTTCCCAGCGAAAATCCATTCATTAGTGCAATTTAGTTTAATTAAATAAGGAAAATCCATATAAAATTATGCGAGCATAAATAAGATGATAGCGAAATTTAAATAGAAAATTTAAATTAAAAAATGAATAAATAAAATTGAAAAACATTTATTTAAGCAAGATATATAACAATCCAATTAAAAATATTAAAAGTTTTAGTGTGCTTTCGTTTTAGTTAATTTCTATCGAATCATTGTCGTTCAAAGAGAAAATAACATAAAAGAAAAAACGGAACAAAATGGCGATGGTTATATCAACGCGCGCGAAATTAGTAATAACCGCGTTAATATTATTCTTTTTTCTCGGTATTGTGCTCGTTACCGGCTCAACAAAAGGCTGGTTTATACCAAATCGTTATAACGGCGAGCGTGTTGCTGCTAGGATACAGGTAAATGGCATAAGATAGTAAATATGTACTTTTGTTTCCCTCATATATTAGATAGCATGAAGTGTAAAATTATGTTTATGAAAAACTGAAATATAGAAAAGTTGAAAAAATTGAAGATGACGGTTTTGGAAGTTAGGTTCTTTCAATAAAAAAAAAATTTAAAGATTCCAGGAATTTATGAGCTTAAAAACTATTAAAAATGCTATGTGTTTTTATGTAATATATTTGAAATATAATTCCAGGTCTGCCAAATTTTTATATACGTTCATACATATGTCCTAATAAATAGCTTTTCGTGCTCTACACCTATTATTAATTAATATTATGGATTTAACAAAGTTAGGAGAATTTTCTTATGAATCTTCTTTTAAAATTTAAAATGAAAATTCTATATAATTGTTGCAAGAATGTGGACGCGTATTTTTTAATGAATATTTATTGCTTTCCACGTACATACTCGTACATTTTAATTGTGCTCATTTACTTAATTGTTAGTTATTATAGGTGAATATTTAGGCTATTTATATGACAAATGGCAATGATTAATATTCTCTCGGTAATTTCACCAAGAAATACAAAAAAACTAATTTATTTATTTAAACTGTGTGCATAATTATAACATAATTAAAATAAAATAGTTTTGCAAAAATAGTAATATCTAATATATATATGAAATAAGTTTTATAACCATTGCAACTACTGCCCGGCCCACTTCGTAAAATTATAATTTTTCCATACTTTTACAGCGATCAAAACTAAAATATATTTCCAGCTACATGATGCACCCAAGCGTACAATTGCCACTTGAACTGAACTCTTTAACTCTACACTCATTTGAAGGCACTTAAACAAATTACTCGGTACTTTTGCTTTGCCGCTCGTACCTCATGCACATGCAGTTGTGCTTATATATACTAAAGTGCACAACAGTAGCATATAATTTTCATTCCCAAAGGATAAATCAATTCATGTCTAGTTGTCAAAATAATGTTAAATTGGTGAAAAACTGTTAGCGAACAAACCATCATATATATATTTATAGATATTCATAAATATGTATATTTCGTATCATTTTCTCTAAGTAAAGGGTAATTTTTTAAGAGAAATAGAAAAGTAAAAAAAAGAAATCCACACATAAAATTCAGAAAAATGCATGAAATCTTTATTTGTATCAATAATACGGCCAATATAATTTAATGTTTGAAGATTATTTCATGCAAATGTTGACCGTAACTATGCCTCAAACGGTTCATCCGCTAAGTCCAGTTTTGGCATACTCCTACGACCGTTTCGGCCGTTATCTCAAAAAGAAATGCTTAAAAGTTGTCCTCCAATGTGTCCATTGAAGCGGGCTTATCTTTTTAGACATTTGATTTAAGATAGCCCTACCAAAAATAGTCTAAAGGCAGCCAATTGACCGATCCCGAACGTGAAAAAAAAATGTTCACCGAACTCGCCTCTCAGTAAGTAAATTGCTACGCATGCTGTGTGGCATGTGCCACCGTCTTGTTGAAACCACATATCATGCAAGTCAAACTCTTGCATTTTGAGCGCTCACCATTCCCAATTACTTTACGATTCGCAACATCTTTGAAGAAGTACGGTCCAATGTTGGCACCAGCCCATAAACCACACCAAACTGTGACTTTTCCTGGATGCATTAGTAGCTCTTGCAATTTTTCTGGCTGATTTCCCCTACAAAATCTGAAATTCTGCTTATTTGCGTACCTACTAAGCCAAAAATGAGCTTCGAAGCACTCCCGAAAGAAGCGCGCGATGAACTTTCTTAACAAAGCACGAATTTTGATAAAAAATTCAGCTATTGGAAAGCGTTGTTCGTTTCTGAGGCGATTCATGGTTAAATTAAAAACCATACTTAAGATGTTTGACGGTGATACAAAACACGAAGCGTACGTCAACTGTTAAGACCAGAGTTACCAAAAAGATAGTAGGAAAAAATCACCCTTTACATCAGTGCCTGTTATGAGTATGGCGTACAATATAATATTGACCATTACAAACAGACAAAAAAGTTTGTCTGAGTGTGAATGTGCATGTAATGTTAATGATATGATATGCATATTGTTATGCCATTTATAGAATTCTAGTTCAATACAAATAAACACATATTAGTAATGTTTGAAAATGTTAAGCGACCAAAGCCTTACCGGTATTTTATATGCTTAACTAATGAGCGTTTATTTATTTGGTTTGGTGGTGCAATTATCGAGTATTTAGGCATGAGAAGTTATTGCAGAAGGGATGAGAAGGAGCGGTGAGCTGAAAATCAAAAAATCAAACAAGAAATAAAATAATAAATAAAATAAAATAAAATAAAATAAAATAAAATAAAATAAAATAAAATAAAATAAAATAAAATAAAATAAAATAAAATAAAATAAAATAACATTAAAATAATAAATTGAAATATGATATAGTGATCTAAAATAACATGATAAAAATAAAATATAAAATTGAATATAATATAATAACAAATTAAATGAAATACACTAAATAATAATTAATAATAAGTTAATTAATTGATTTAATTTCGCAACAAGAAAAAATTAGTAGAAATATTTCTTCATACTTTCATATCTTCGCTTAAATTATCGCCATAAAGATTTATGCAAAACCGGCCACAACCATGAAGTTTATAAATTAACATAATATTCTGTACTAATATTTATAATTACTTGCCTAATAACTGTTACCTAAGTATGCCTCTTCTAATAAAATACCTCTACATTATGTGTCACATAAATAAAATGTTAAGCACCAACGACATTTATTGTTGTTATTTTTGCCGTAACGTTTCAATGACAAATGAGTGTACGCACCAGAAGGCGCATATTTTAATTACCCACGTTGGCAGCTTGAAGTAGTTGTGCGTGCGAATGTGTGGCATGCCACATACCATGTACCACTTAACGTGCTTCAGCAATTAATGCAGTGAGCCAAGTTGAGGTGTAGTAGGTGGCCTCACTGGTCAACCAAAGAAAAAAGCAAAAAACCAAAAAATATATTTAAAAAAAATACATATTTTGGCGATAACAACATCAAAGCAAAAATCGTCAAACTCGCTTGGCTGCACAAAGGGGTAGAAATGTGGTCGGTCAGTCACTAAATATTTATATACGTGTAAAAATATATAATATTTTTGTTGCTGTTAATTTTGGGGTAAGGACAAATTATGCGGTTTGAGCGTTGATGAGTTAAAATTGTGAGCGAGTATTTTTGGCGATAATTTTTTCAGTGTAGGTATGCGTAAATATATTTATTTCTGACACGAAATGTTGTAAAACATGCCATTACAATAATTACAACCGAAAAGAATAACAAAGTAAAGCAAGCATAATTTTCCATTAGCGACAACGAATGTGTCGGTGGTCAAAGCTTGCAACGCGATATTTTTCCAAAGTTTCATATATAACAAAAATTAATGGTAATTATGCGCATTGTTATGCGTAACCCACACAAGCAGCACCAAAAATGCTCAATGGCGTGGGTCTTGAGTGCGTCAGATGGCTGCTAAATACTTTTGGGATTTGAAATATTTTTTCATACTTAGATGTATATGCAGAGCAATTATGTGTTACCAAAAACCAATACAGGCGCCCACCAATTTTTTCTGCTTTTGCCCTTTTAGCTCACATTTCCGATTAGTGGAAATTAGCCAGTGTAATACGTTTGTATGTTTATGCATATTAATTGGCATCTAATCAACAAACTCTTTGGTTGGAGTTGCCGTTGTTGGTGCGGTGGTGCTGTCGCAAAAGTGTTAAAAGGCGGAAGTGTGGCACGCATTCTTGAGTGACATAAATTACTTTTTTTCCACATTTCTCCTTTGCTGGAGAGTTGAAAGAAACAAATATTTAGCTTGCAATTTTCCTCGCTTTGTTGGTAATTGGCATATAAAGTGGCTAATGGTTGGCCGTGTTGCTTTAATTGAAGTCAAATGAGTTCAACGGGGCGTATACTTAACGATAGTGAGAGCCATTGCATGGGCAAGTGGGGGAATTGCTTATTTTTAGCTGCTATTAAATTACCATTTGCCAAAGATTGAAAGAAAAAGGATTGAAAAAGTGAATCATTTGAAATTAATAAATGTTTTCTTTGATTA